AAGAAAGAGAGAGAGACTGTGCTGATGGTCTTAGGGATCCAGGATGGGAAAAGGGTCCATGAGCCAAGGAATTTGGGCATCCCCACAGGCCAGGAAACAGGCTTCCCACAGAACCTTCAGGAAGAACCAGCCCTGAGGACATATTGGTTTTGGAGTCTTTGACCTCCAAAGCTGTAAGAGATGGATTTGTGTTTTACACTGCTGATTTTTGCAGTTTACAAGTTACATATCTAGCAACCTTAGGGGACGGTACAGAGCCTGTCTATGGTGACCGCTCCACAGCAGCACACAGTCTAGCTGCTCACGGACTACCTGACACAGCATGTCCCACATAAGTTCCTGGCTTCCCCAGACCAGTTCCAGCTGTGCCTTCCCCAGCCGAGCTGCTCCGAGCGCTCTTCTCTCAAGCAGGTCACAACCTTGGGGTCACCCTTGACTCCTTCCAAGCTCAAGACCCCACATCCAATCCCTGGGCATGTCTCCCGGCCCTGCCTTCCAGTGTGCCTGACCGCATTGCAGTGGTGTGCTGCTTGTGCCTTCCAAGGCTGCAGTGACCCAGGGGAAGCCGACATGCTCAGCCCCTCCACCCCATGGAGTCATTTCTTGGAGTCTTGAACCCCCTCTCCTCCTGGAGCAGTCCAAGCCCCCCCATCTTTCAGGCTTGGTGGCCTCCCTGGCCTCTTTTCTGTCTTCCTTCAGCATTTCCTCAGTCCTCGACAAGCCGACCAAACCCAAAACGACATCAAGGGAAAAGAACAGGAGCCAGACAGACAAATTAACTTGCCATGTGGGAGGGGCAGATGGAAGTGTAGACGGCAAAGGTAGATTTTGGCTCAGGCTCTGGGGAGGGTGAGGCACCCAGGCTGGGTGACCCAGGAAGGCGGCGCTCCCCACAGTGCTAAGCAGGAGGCTGTAAGCTAGCCTCTGCCATCAGAGTGACACCACCTTCCCCACACAGCACCTGTAGCTCTTCCCCCTTCACAGCCTGGGCTTGAGGACCACGTGGCTCAAGAGACAGCGCTCAGAAGCTGGGTCAAGTTGAAAGACAGCTCTTCAGAGAAAAATGGAAAGCCTCATTTTAGCAACGACGAACTCAAAGTCTGAAAACGGAACCATTTCCCAGGTCGTGGCTTCCCATCCAGGCTGTTCACGCCCCACCTCTGGCCACATACCCACCCAAGGCACCCCAGGTGACAGCCACATGGGCAGCAGAGGGCCAGAGCCCTGTGACTCAGCCAGACACTCACTCAAGCCTCTCTTCTTCTCTCCTCCTGAGGTCGAAGTCTCGCTGAACCACTGCCCAGATATGCTCTGCCTCCTCATCCGTGAGCTTGGAAAGGTCCAGCTTTCTCCCCATCTCTTCTTGCCTGCACCAGACCTGGAAAGTCACAGGGTCACACCCAGTCAACTCCAAGAAGCCTGAGGATACTGACCAAGTCACAGAGTAAGAAGCAGAGCGGAAATTTACCCACTGATTCTTCAGGATGTCTGTGCACCAGACTGGGTGGTTTTCTAAACAGACAAATGCGTGTCTGGATGTCAGGGCTATTTAATAAATTTTGTGTGGTTAAAAATGAAGTAAGCAGCTGTGTAAAATTCTCACATTCCACTTCTACAAAGAAACGACTGACTTCCTGCCTGCGTACAGTACCCCCCCATTCTCTCTCTACTGTGAGGCAGGTGTTCATGGTTCCCGTTAGATTTCCCAAGAGAAAGCCACAGGACATTCTGATGAAAAGAAGAATCTTCATGTGCAATTCCAGGCCAGTTCCAGCTTCTGGGTCATTCCCCACAAACTTCCAGAGCTGATGGTGCTGGGTCCTCTGGAGACTGGACTCGATGGTTTGGACTGGCCATTGACAACATGTCTGGGTTTAGAATTACCTAGAAGACACAGCTCTTGGTGTGCCTCTAAGGGCATTTCCAGAGAGGTTCAGCTGAGGAGGGACAACCCACCCTGAAAGTAGGGGGCACTGTTCCATGGGCCAGGGTCCTATACTAAGAAGGAAAAACAGAAAGCGAGCTAAGCACCAGCATCCATCTCTCTCTGCTTCCTGACTGTGTGTGTGGAGTGACCGCTGCCTCGCTGTTTGACTTCGCCACCATGGTGGACTGTGCCCCTCCTTCCTAAGAGGCTTCTGCCAGATATTTTGTCATAGCAAAGAAAAGTAACGAATACCAGGTTAATCCTAAGAAGTAACACGGTCTAGGCAGATGCTCTTAAAGTGAAAATTTCCACAGAGGCCCACGGCTGCCAACCAGAATATCTCCTAAACATTTTATGACTTAAAATTGGTGAAAGATAATTTCAATTTTTTTGTTCCTACCCCTTAATAGTCCCAGTCTGTAGCGTAATGGTGATTCTGACGTACAATGTGGACAGGAAGTACCACATGGAGCCAATACATTCTTGAGCCCCCCCCAACACGTGGTGTCTGGCTTCTAAAGAATCAGAACAAAAGGGTCTATACAATGTGGACAGGAAGTACCACATGGAGCCAATACATTTTTGAGCCCCCCCCCCCAACACGTGGTGTCTGGCTTCTAAAGAATCAGAACAAAAGGGTCTTATTTGATGGGTGACTGGGGCACATTCATTTTGAATTCTCATCATTTTGAACAAAGTGTCTTACAGGGAGAATATCCACTCAACTTCTATTCTTGGAGTCAATTCAGAGTAGTGTGACCCTCAGCTGAGGACCTCATCTTCTTATAGAAACCAAAGTTCATGGCCCCTTAAATTCTGAGGTGTAAAAGAAAAGCCAAAGGAAAACCCCCGTGTCTCAGCCTCTGTTTGACTTCTTTTCCACTTAATTATTTTTAAGGTTCTTATACAAAGGAATAGGTTTTGTCTCTGCACCTTCATGCATGTGCATCATTATATGTTCTAAGAGTGTGCTTAGCGGCCAATGGGTGGACAGGCAGAGGGATCACATACATCAGCACCAAATCCAGAGACCGCTGCAGACCGAGGTTGTGCGTGCCCTCAGCCCCGCTGAGAAACCTTGATGTTTCTCATAGTGAGAGTTACTTGGTTTCTTAGCCAAATGCCAAATGACACTGGAAGCTGGGGGCACTGAAGGGCCCGGGAAACCTGCTGGGCCAAGACAAGAGAAGGCTCCAGATTACTTAGGACAGCAAGGCTGCCATCCTGCAGTGGAGTTGGGGCAGAGCCATGATGGGAGGTGGGTGGGGAGGCAGCACGGACAGGAGGAACTCTGCACCCCACATCTAGTCAGGAAGTCTATCTTGACAAAGCTCATCTTAGAGGGATTCATGAATGATCCCCAGGCTCAAGGACATTCGCTTTGCTCTGCTAAGGAGAGCCAGAAGGATGCAAGTCAGTCTGTAAAAGCATGCATCTATCACTAAGCCAGGAGCAATGCATTAGGACCTTATGGGTTGGGAGTACCCTGGAAAGTTTTTCTCTGATGCTGTCTTTAGCTCTGGTCTCAGGTTCTTGAAGTGTTCTGGGGAGAACACTTCTGAATTTATTTGATGACATCTTCAGAGGCCGAACTGATGAAGGGCAGTGCTTGTTCGCATATATTACTAGACAACCAGAGGCTGAGAACCAGCGTCCCCAGCATAACGTTTTCCTTTATCTACCATGATTGAATCCTCCCATTTAGTGAACTGGTACAATGCTTTGAATTAAAAGAATTATTTATAGGAAATAACCTAAAATTAAATGTGTCTGATTTCAGCATTTTAAAATGCACAAGAAGTCAGTGGCATTTTGGGGATGGGCTGCTAGGACAGTCTCACTGTTCAATTCATGGTCAGCACAGGACACACTTACTTGAACTATGGTAGAGGGGCAGGACCCTGGAACAGAATAGCCAGGGCCTCCAGCAAGCCAGTGCCCCACCCTCACCTCTACTTTGCTTGCTCCCCAAGAGTGAGGTATGCTCCTATAAGCCTCTACTCACAGCAGTGAAGGAGTACACAGGGGCAGGCAATGTGCCAGGCCCATGGAGGGGGCAGGGCCTCCCTGTGCCTGCCCTGCTGTGTGTCGGGCAAGGCTGGGCGATGCCTCCAGGCTCTGACTGTTCCACGTCTGTGCAGATAACTCCTAGTCACGAGTTCCCTCAACCCCAAACCACTTTCCAGTTGTATCTGCTCCACTGCTCAGTTAACTCAGTTAATCCTATTTCAGATCTCTGCTGTGCCAGCTGCCTCCAGTTGCTTCATAATCACAGCAGCAATGCGAGAGACTTCACGAAAAGTAGCTGGCAGGAAGTGGAGAGAGCTGGTTTGGTTTATAAGACGGACCATCAGGCCCAATCATAGAGTTTCAAGGGAATGTTGCCTGTATCCACCAGAGACTCGCATTCGCATTTTGGTTGCACTGAGAGAAAACTTGGTTGAGCACTTGTAGACAAAGACCTGGCTTAGCCACTTTTAGGGCCAGCTACCCCAGAACCTTGGCACACCAGTGACTGTGAGCAAACGGAGAGCAAGTCAGCGGATGCCAGCCCATGATGGCAGGGGTGTCCGCTGTCTGGGCTGGCGTGGCTGTATTCCTGCTGATAAAGGTGTGGGCTGAGGTGCTGGCTGTGGCACCTTTGGGGCTGTGTGCAACTGCTGGATGTGGTTATGTGTGTGGACAGGGCTGACATCCACAGAGGCACACTGGGGCCTCTAGCCTTCAGCAGCAGAACTATGGCATTGCCACCCAGAAGGGTGTTCCCTTCCCCACTGAAGTGCCAGGTGCCTTGGGAAGTTTTACAATGGCCTCTACAAGCCCAGCTTCCTGTTGCCACCTCCAGCCTGTCTTCCCCGATCTCTAGACTCTGAGCCATTTCTGAGGAACCTCACTTATCCATGACCGTAGGTTCTGACCTCCATCCAAAGCTTCAGCTCCAGACAGCAGCAGGTGCTGGCTCAGGTGCACCTGCATGCAGTAGCTGGGCTCCCAGCCCAGCTCGGGTATAGCCAGCTTGCCTGCCTGAGACAAGCTTCTCTTTCTCTCAAGGTCTGTACTGTGGAAGGTTGGGTTTCATGATCTATGACCATCTCTAGCCTAACATGATGCTGGGGTGTTAGAATTAAGAGGCGTCATGGTGGGGAGGGTGCAGTATGTATGTGCATGTTTGTGCACATTTGTGTGTGTGTGGGGTTCAGCTCTTTCAGAAGTTCCTTTTGAAAGGAAGATAGGAAGTCCTAAAAGCTGCCCGGGGCACATGTGGGCCATCCTGCCTCATCATGGGGGACAGCGAAGGGCGTTGTTAGCCTACAGGGCCCTGGGACCTCTTCTCCCCCTCTCCAACTCTCTGTGCTCAGCAGTTTTTAGCTTTTTGTAGTCTCCCGTGCCTTCATCAGGAAGACCCTCTGACTCCTTATGCATGTGTCTGGTCTAGGTTCTCAGTCAGTCCAGTGAGGCCCCTGCCATGGCTCCCAATATAGAGATGGGACACAGAGCCTGGGGGAGGCCAAGGAGGACAGCAGCTGTCTGCCGCTGCATGAATTCCAAGGAGGGACACTGTAGAGACTTGGGTGGGGTGGGGGTCATGGCCAGGAAAGCTTCTTCTTCCTAAGGCTCAGAATTCAGGGAAGATCATGGATGTCCAAAGACACACACGAGCAGGTGGAGAGCCATTAGGATTTGGAGCACAACATTGTACCTGCCCAGCTGCTCCTGATCTGCAGCCCAGCCTTTTCTTGGAGACTCTTACCAGGGCACAGAGTGGGGCCTTGAACCCTTGTCATTCAAAGCCCTCAGAAGGAATCACAAAAACATAACAGCAATCACAGCATACGGAAACAGGACGGCACAAGTGAACACACAGAGGTTCATCTCTTTTCAGGTCAGTGTGAGAGTGGTGTGGACCCCGTGAAATCCCTGTTGATTTGTGAGGCTGGGCTCCGGTAGACTTGGGCCAGTGGTCAGGATGCCTACGATGCTCACGACCCACCCATCTTCCTCACACCGCCACAACAAGGAGGGTGGGCAGAGGGAGCCTGAGGGTGAACACAAGGAGACTCCACTGAACCTGGGGCCTTTAGAGATCTGGAGGAGGGCAGGTGCCGCCCCCCCCCCCCCCCAATGCTGGGCAGCCAGTCTCTCACCAAACAGCCTCCTGCCCTGGGCTCCAGTACTCAGATTCTGGAGGGTGACCAAGCTTTAGCCTCACCAGGTGCTAAAATCAACTTGTTAGCCCCTAGCTTAGAGTTTGGAGTTTGCTGAGTGAGGGCTCTCTTCAGGAGCCTGGACCAAACTGGAGGCTGGCCCAGCTACCAATGAGGAGTCATACCTCCCTGAGCCTGTTTCCCTCTCCTGTGGGTCATCCAGACCCCAGGTTTCTCCCCAACTCACCGCCTCACTCCTGGGGACCCTCAGTCCTCGGCCCCGCCAGTCCTCAGCGCTGCTCCTTTGGTCCTGGGAGGGAAACTGAAGGGTGGCCCCTGTCCAGTCAGAGCGCACAGGGCCGGCAGCTGTGTACTCGGACCTGCCCAGCGCTAGAGAGGCCCCAGTGCCACCCTCCCCGATCACGTGGGCTGCTCCCCGCCCAGCTCCGGGATCTCCGTGCACCCGGGGTGCCGGCAGGCCAATGGGCAGAACCGCTTCCCGGGGCCTTCCTGGGAGAGCGCTTCCTCATGACTCCCCATAGGGTTTTGGGGAGAAAGGGTGGAGCTCAAGGGCGCTCATGGTCTGAACCACTGGCAGGGATCCGGCAGGACCAGTGGCTGAGCTCCTGGGAGTGAGTGCAGTGCGTGGTACCTCCTTGAATCCCCATTCTAGGCAGAAGTTTTGTACACAGGGATACTGAGGCTCAGAAAAGCCCCTTACCCAAAGTCACAGAGTAGTCAGTGAGACTCTGAGCCCAGGGTTTCCTGAAGCTGCAGATCGCGGGTCCCCCAGCGCCTTGCACTCAGCTATGACCAGGTGCTGCTGGACCTAGAGGACGCTGCAGTGGGAAGCTCCGCCACGCCTCCATTGACAAGAAAAGTCCAATTGCCTCTCTGTTCTCACTCTCAGGAAGATCTGCAACCAGTCCAGGCGCTCCCTCGGTGGGAAGATGAGGTACTGGAAAAGCTCCTTGCCTGAAAGATCCTGATCCACAGCACCACACTCTCCTCCCTGGCTCCAGAGCTTTGGGTGCTTAAGGGAGCTGCAAACCCAGAGAACAGCAGATCCCAAGTCTTCTCAGCTGCCCCGTTTTCCTCCAGGGCTGGGCACACCTGAACACCCTCGCTCTGCCCCCTCCTTATTAAAAAATTGATCAAACAAAAAATATGCTCAGCCAGGTGTGGCGGTTCATGTATGAAATCTCAGCACTTGGGAGGGTGAGGCAGGAGGATTGCTGCCCCGATCTGAGACCAGCCTGGGCTACAAAGTGAGTTCCGGTCAGGCCAGCATGGGCTACAGAGTGAAACCCTCCCCGTCTCCAACAACAAACATTAATTACACTCTATTTTCAGGAAATCCTTTTACAACTCAGTTCTCTTACCTACAAAATATGGACAGGACTATAAATAAACAGCTAGAGGGTGAGTAGATATTTCTATCTCCCTCAGTAGAGGAGGAAAGGGATCATATGTTACACACTCTCTGGGTTAGAGCCCCATGCTGCCTGCAGAGCCCAGGGGACACTTGTAGCTGAATTACGGTGTTTCTGTTCCTATCTGACACCATCATCAACTAGTGTATATGACCCCACATTCGAGCTTGTCTTCAATGGCTGTGACAAAACACTGACCAGTACCAACTTGGGGAGGAAAGGGTTTATTTGTTTTTACATCTCCCAGGTCACAGTTCATCAGGGAGCCCAAGGTAGGAACTCAGGGCAGGAGCCTGGAGGCAGGAGCTGGAGCACAGGAACCCTGCTTACTGGTTTGCTCCCCTGACCTGTGCTCAACTCACTTTCTTAGGCAACATAGGCCCAGGGGTAGCACCACCCACAGTGGGCTGGGCCCTCCCACATCACTCAATAATCAAGAAGATGCCCCATAGACATGGCCACAGGCCAGGCCAGTGGAGGCAATTCTCCAACTGATGCCCCCTCAATCCAGGTGTGTCAAGTTGATATTAAAGCTATCCAGCACAATTGACCCCTTGTCAACTTGACACACAAACATATCACTATGAAACCATAACTTTTCCATTTCTTGACCTCAAGATATGATGTTAATATCACAATGTAAGACAGTACAACCTTAAAACTCCTACAGTCCTTAAAAAAATCCAAACACTTAAAAGTCCATAGTCTCTTTCAAAAGCCTCTTAACCGTGGACTCCTATAAAATCCAAAATAAGTACTGTCTTATTTCACAGGGAAGAATCGGGCACACCTAAGCAAAACCAAAGTCCAGCAAAGTAGCTCAAGGCTGGACATCTAGGATTTACTCACGATCTTCTGGGCTCCAAAGGGTTCTGGCAGTTCCACCTCTGACTCTGCAGTCCACAGCACACACAGCTCATCTTGTAGACCCAGGCCAGCTCTATTCCACACCTACTGCTGTCCTTGCTGGTTGTCTCCTGGTCCTGGCATCCCCCAAAAGCTGGGGTCTCCACTGAAACTGAGGCTACACCTTCACCAATGGCCCCTTCTAGCTTCTCAGGGTACAAAGCCTCAGATTCTCTCCATGACCCCTTCAATCCTGGGGTCTTCACTGCAACCGAGGCTGCACTTTCACCAGTGACCTTTCCTGGCCTCTCGGAGTGCCAAGCCTCAGCTGCTCTCTGTGACCCCTTCACTCTTTCAACACACAACCATGCAGGAGACATTACTGAGTACTGTTTCTAGCTTGAGATAGAGCCTCAGGCTCCTTGTGGACCACAGTTTCTGTGCACTGACCCTGAGGAAATACTTCCCATAAGATTTCACCACAGTAATGCTGGTCTCTTGTTACAGCTGATTTTTCAGCCCCAGCTAACCAGCATCAATTCTCCCAGTAAAGCAAAGGTTTTACTTCAGGTTCTGGTCTCTTCTTAATCACAGCTGATTCTTCAGCCTCAGCCGACCAGAAACCACAGAGTCTCAATTCAAAATATCACACAAACAGCCCTGATTGTCTCTGCTTCCCTTTGAAGCTTCACAAGCCAGGCCTCCATCGGTCCACAGCTCTTTCAGCATAACTGTTCCAAGCTCCACAGCAACACACTCTAAGCACTCAATGACTTTTTCAGCCCAAAGTTCCAAATGCTTCCACAATCCTACAAACACCAAGGTCAGGCCTGTCACAGCAATACCCACTCTCGGTACCAATTTCTGTTCTAGTTTGTCTTTGATTGCTGTGACAGAACACTCTGACCAATACCAACTTGGAAGGAAAGGGTTTATTTAGCTTAGATCTCTCTGGTCACAGTTCATTACTGAGGGTAGGAACTCAGGGCAGGAACCTGGAGGCAGGAGCTGGAGCACGGGCCATGGAGGAATGCTGTTTACTGGCTTGTTCCCCTGGCCCCTGCTCAGCCTGCTTTCTTTTTTATCCGAAGATAGGCAATTTTAAACACATTTTTCCAGAAATAACTTGAAGCAGGTATATATATATACACACACACAATGAAGTTTAAGAGGGGAAACTGGAATAAGAAATCAAAGACCAAAGGATTTGCCAATAGGGGTCAGTAATTTTGGTGGGACAGTGAAGGGTCCCGTTAGCTCTGTTCTTTTTTCTTTGGAAAATCTTAAGGAGTTTATTGGGCTTTCTAACAGAGCATAGGGTGGGGGTTTATTTACAGAAGAGTGGGTGCCCCCTCCCCCATTTACGGCTGCACTGGAAAGTCCACACTCAAGTATAGATCCTGTAACTTCCTGACAGCCGCACAAAATGGTGAGAGAGGTGCCTTATGCCATTCTTGGCTTGTATATCCTTAGCCCCTTCTCCACATGCAGCCAAGGTCGACTGATTGGGTGTGTGTGTGGGTAACTGACTCCCCCTTTGACTCCTTGACAAGTGTGGGAAGGAGGTGTGACTATAGCTTGCCGGCATAGTGGTCAGAGGACACTTCCAGTTGACACTCTACCCCTTCCTCCGGCTCTTACATTCTTTCCACCAACCTCTTCCACAAAAGTCCCTGAGCCTTGGAGGGGGTGGTGGGTGTGGGATGACCTTCCTCCTACTGTGGCAAGGCGCTGAACTTTAGGGTCTCTGCATCCTCAGTGTTCCATGGGCTGTTGGCCCATTTCAGTGGGATTCCATCTATTATAAAAACACAAACAGCAAGAAACAAGAATATCTAAACAGTGGCTGCTATAATAACTTAAACTATGGATGTAAACACAGATGCTTGGATGGTACTTTAGCAGGTGCATCACATCCATCTAACAAAACAATTGCAGTGGCTTCCCCACTGGGGCCTATATCCTCCCCTGCCAGAGGGGGTGGGCCTGGTCTACAGTACCAGATGTGTGTTCCACCCCTAGGAGTGGGCATTATATCCAATAAAAAATTTGATGGTTGTACATACACTGGACACACCAAAATTGTACCAGCTGGATCATCTTGTTTGGCATGTTGCTAGTGCAGCACGTTGGGGTCCATTGTTGAGCAGAATTATAGGGGCTGAATCTCCCCCAGCCATCTGCATGTCCTCTTTTGGCACAACGAAAGCTACTCCTATGGTGACAGGGTGTTTCCAGCTTAATCCAAGCCTGATTTCTCCCTCTTCACTCTCACATCATATGGTGTCTTCAGCAATAGGATTTTACCATCCACTTCTGGTGTACAACCAACATTATCAGCAATGGTCTTTATTGTTTTGGGGACCTCTAGGGCCCCTCTGGTCAACAGCTCATAGGAAAGTCAACCAACCTCTGGCACTGGGATTTTTAGTTTAATAACCGTATGGCTTCTGGTAGGGCTTTCTTCCATCCCTGTAGGGCTCCTTCTGTGCCTAAGGCTCCCCTGTTCCTTTATTCCCATAGTTCTTTGTGTAGGTCTCCTCCCCCTTCCCATCTAACTGCCCCCTTTTTGCATATTTCTCCCTTAGTAACACCTTTCTCCTACTGTTCTTCTCTCTCAGTTTCCTTCTTTCCCTTTACCTCCCTGGTCCCTTCCATATTCCTGGTTCCTGTAGTCACATCAGGATATGCACTCACTTATAAGGATTTGGTGCTAGGATCCACAAATGAGGGAGAGCATACTTCTTTTTTTTTTCTGAGTCTGCATTACTTTACTTAGTATAACAGTTTCTCGATCCATCTATTTACCTGCAGATTTCATTATTTCATCTTTCCTTACTGCTGAGTAGAACTCCATTGTGTAAATGTACCACATTTTCGCTAACCACTCGTCAGTTGAGGGACACTTAGGTTTCTTCCATCTCTTAGCTATTGTGAGAAGAGCAGCAACAAACATGGTTGTACAAGTCTCTACAATAGGATGAGTCCTTTGGGTATATGCCAAGGAGTGGTATAACCGGGTCATGTGGTAGGTTCATTTGTAGTTTTTTAAGAGTTCTCCACACTGTTTTCCATAGAGGCTGCACAAGTTTGCAGCCCCACCAGCAGTGAATGAGTGTT